TTCTGTTACTAGGGTGCGTTGGGATTCTGTTTGCGGTACCGTCAGTCTTTGGTTTACCGGCGGTTCAGTTCGCCAACTTTGATCCACGTATCTAAGTGAACTGGATGCAGTTGCTTTGAACCATGTCACTAAAACAGTAGCAGCAACAACAACAATAAGATACTAGGAAGAGCAAAGATCCAAATTGCCAGACAAAGTAGCTGGGGGTCAGAAATGGAGGGAAAAATGTTAGACCGCCACTTACTTTGTGGAGCCCTAAGACACCAGGCTTTTCCGTGTACTAAACATCAGATAGCTTAATGGACCTGTTAGAATGCAAATCAGAATTTCTCTTGGCACCGAGCACAAGGTTTGTGAATCTTCACATTACACTGATACATGACATAGCTCACATCTGGTGGGAACATCGCGTGAGTAACGAGCGTGTTCGACGCCTTGTTTATAGCACAGGAAAAGGAAATAAACCGCTCAGCACCGTTATTTCACGCATCAGGCTCCGATGGCTCGGCCACGTGTTACGCATGCCAGCCCACCGACTTCCGCGACGTGTGTTGTTTGCGCGCCGGGGGTGTGGATGGAAGAAGAGGAGGGGTGGCCAAGCGATGACTTGGTCCAGAGGAATGAAGGCCCTCACTTCTGAGCTGGCCTCGGTTGGAGCGTCTCGGCTCCCTGGTTGGGGTCCGAAAGACGATGAACACGTTTGGTTGGACACACTTGTTGATATGGCTAGGAGCCGATCTCAGGGGTGTTCGTGCTGTGAGTTTCTTTGTCCCACCCCATCCCTCTTAGCCTCCTCCTCCAACCACGATCTCATTACTTAGCCTTATATAATATTACATACTAATTTTTTTGGGTGCACAGCAGCCGGCTGGTAGCTTACCGGAATGATGCCCGTCCGTTACCGGTAGCTCGGCCAGCTTGCACCAGTTGCTGTTTTTTCTCTCCTTTTTTTCTTTGTATTGCGTCACAGTAGCTGAGGTGTTCCCCACCTCTAGCTAACATGTATGATGGTGATGATGATGATGATGATGATGATGATGATGATGATGATGATGATGATGATGATGATGATGATGATGATGATGATGATGATGATGATGAGGATGTTGATGATGATGATGATGATGATGATGATGATGATGATGATGATGATGATGATGATGATGATGATGATGATGATGATGATGATGATGATGATGATGATGATGATGATGATGATGATGATGATGATGATGATGATGATGATGATGATGATGATGATGATGATGATGATGATGATGATGATGATGATGATGATGATGATGATGATGATGATGATGATGATGATGATGATGATGATGATGATGATGATGATGATGATGATGATGATGATGATGATGATGATGATGATGATGATGATGATGATGATGATGAGATGATGATGATGATGATGATGATGATGATGATGATGATGATGATGATGATGATGATGATGATGATGATGATGATGATGATGATGATGATGATGATGATGATGATGATGATGATGATGATGATGATGATGATGATGATGATGATGATGATGATGATGATGATGATGCATCATCATCATGCATCATCATCATGCATGCATGCATGCATGCAGCATCATGCATCAGTCATCCATCAGCATCATCAGCAGCATCAGTCAGCATGCATCATCAGCATCATCATCATCATCATCATCATCATCATCATCATCATCATCATCATCATCATCATCATCATCATCATCATCATCATCATCAGCATCATCATCATCATCATCATCATCATCATCATCATCATCATCATCATCATCATCATCATCATCATCATCATCATCATCATCATCATCATCATCATCATCATCATCATCATCATCAGTCATCATCATCATCATCATCATCATCATCATCATCATCATCATCATCATCATCATCATCATCATCATCATCATCATCATCATCATCATCATCATCATCATCATCATCATCATCATCATCATCATCGTCATTCTCTCAGCATGCATCATGCTCGCCATCATCATTTGTCATGCGTGCATCAGCATCAAGGTATCGCAGCATCATCAGCATCAGTCTGTCAGCATCATCAATCTCCCAGCCCCCCACCTGTACCCCTGATAAGATCAGCGTCCAAAAGAATATAAGCTAACTTGGGACTCCCTGCCATTTACATTGATGCAAATTCAGCCAAGGTATGTGACCGTTACCGGGAATACCTCACCAATTGGCACCACGCAATATGCACCCACATAATGAGTTTAAGGCATCGGTTTCCTGCAACCCACCCTCGATTCAAGCCAAAATATTATAGACTTGCCGAACACCCCCAATTAATCAGGGTCTCAGATAAATCATCTGTCATAGTCGAAAACACCCCGTTTTTCTAATTCAGCTGTGGCTTGACGGACTCGAATCAGATTCTCAGGGGATACTCCAGCTTCCCTTACGTTGGGAATTAAACTTTTGAGTAGAATGATAGAGATTAGGGTTCCGGCTCAAAATTCTCTCTGAATATCACCTATAAAGATCCGTCGTCTGCATTCTTCTCTTTCCCATCATTTGTTAGCCTCCTGATTTTAGGCTTACCAGCAAACTGCCCAATCTCCTGAGCGAATTCCATCTATTTCTTGATATCACCCACCTTATGTTCTCCGATATCTGTGCTCTCCTGGAGTTTCTTTCGTTTCTGATAAAACATGTGTTATCTTGTAATCCAATGTGCACTCCAGACTACTCGATACTAGCCGTTTGCCCTGTGCATTGTTTGAGAATGATTTAAAGGTGTGGGTTGTAATCAGTGCGCCCTATGACCGTGACCTGCTTCAGCGGGATTTTACCGCTTCTCCATGTGGTTTGTAGAGGTCAACCTTCCGAAAACCTAGTCAAGTCGCTCTTCATGAGTCTTGGTAATGGTGGCCACCTTTGAACTTACACTGTGGCCGGTCAACCGTTGCACCCCTCGTCGTTTGTGTAAGATCTCGGTGTACTCTCACACTGCGAGTTAAAGTCCGTGAACAACACAAATGGGCTTTACCAACGCGCACTTCATATGCTTTGGGTGCTTAGACGCAGCTTCTGCACTTTTTCCGAAAAGATTGCCACTCGCCTCTTCGTTTCAATCATACAACCAGTGCTAGAGTACGGCTCGTCCGCATACTGTCCTATCAAAGCATTAAGCGGGTACAGCATGTAGGCACCAGGTTCATCTCAACCTTACGAGGTGTACCCTAAGAAGAACGGTGCATGAGGCTATGACTTCATACACCCCGTCTTATCCTCGAGTACGGGTTGACCTCATAGAGACTCACCGGATGATACACCTTGATACTTACTCCATGTTGAGGACGCTGCTCTATATGCGCACACCAAGCAGCACACGAGGACACTGATTACTAGTTTGTAGTACCGGATTTGTAGCGGGTCGTTCACCAACTCTGCTTCGAACGGAGAGTAGTGAATATATGGAATAATTTGTCGCAATAGTCGAAGCAAACTCCGTGACGAAATTCAAAAAAATTCTGGACAAACACTTTGCCGACTTGAAATATAGAGAAGGCTAACCAACAGAATAAACCATTGTATGTGGTGAATTTTAAATGCGGCTACACATAGATATCTCTTTTTGCTACTTCCTTACAGTGTTCAGTATTAAAGATGATTCCATTCATTACGTACGTTGTGTTGCCCATTCCGTTGATCGCAGCTGTGCGATGTTACAGTCATTTACATCATAAATGCCGAACGCAGTCTACTGCAACGTATTTCAGCTAGAAACCTATTGTGTTAGCCGTCTGAAGACATCATGCTACTTTTGTTTCTGCTTATACTTTCATGTTTTGTTGTGAAAAACCCTTCGTCAACAACTTTTGTTAGCAACTCGTTTCTCATCTGTGTGGCTGTAAGCACACATCGGGACAAACATTTTTTTGCAGACTGAGCGTTGCTAGCGAGACTGTTCGGACGGCCAGTTTTTCTGATGGTATCCTGGTTGCATCCTTCCAGTGCGTTGTTGCGCATCGCAGTGTTGTTGGGTAGCTTCGTTTGATTCATAGTGCCCTCCCGGGCAACGATCAAAAGTGTTCCCCAACAGGACCGTTATTTGTTTACTTCATTATCATTTTTTATGCCATTCATCTTAGATCATCAGATAGCTTTCATTGGTCCATGGTGCTTTTGTCAACGGTTGCTGGGTCAAACAGTTTCGGACGAATCAACTGATGAGCCTATCTTCCTTCGTTCGAAAACTAACTCTTCTTACTTTGGCTTTACTTTATGTATCTCGTCAAGTAATTAGCCACCTGATTCGGAATCATCATGTACCATCGGTATGCATTTTTTTCGACGCACAACTATCATTTACTTTGTTTTCATTAAACTGGCACTCCAACCAGTTCCAGCTGCTAATTGATAGTTGGATATAAGCATGGTGTATTTTATTTGCACAACTCAGATACTTCATTTTCAAATATTTCCGTCTTTCCTCGTAACATGTATCTGCGCTTCCTTTTGTAATCGATTAAACTTCCGTTGAGTATCGTCGGTCTGTGCGCCGTTTCTCATTGTTTAGTTCAACCTAAGTAGTTTTTGTCTTATAGTGAATCGATTAATACCGCACTGTAATTTCGCTCATAACTCGTGTTGTTGGTCTCTAGCAGCCCCTTGAATAGGAACATCAGACGAAAGTAACCCTGACATGACCACGTGAAAATCTATGATAGAATAACATTTTCTTTTGGAGTCCTTGATGCAGCAACCCTAGTCTCTGGCTTGCAAGCTCTGCATCCCCAGGTCGAATATGCACTCATGCGTGTGTTTGGGCGCTCAGGTACCACGCTTGCAACTGCGCAGCACGAAAGCAATATCATGAGTCACCGGTATAGTGTAGATCCCTTCTCTTTACATATCCTGCCCTACAGTTCTAATTTCACCACTCTTTCAATACCCTCCCCTTCTTCCACTTTCTGTCTTCAATCACAGGAAGGTGATCTTATCGTGGCTGAGATACATGAAGTGTACAAAGATGGCAGCTTACAATTGCACATGCCTGGAACGCGAACCGGAAAGCTGGGCGGTGGTTGCCTACTGCGCATTCCACCTAGTTTGGTGAAACGTCAGAAAATCCATCGACATCGTCTGGCAGTCCCACGTACCGACAGTAGCATCCTCAATTCGCACTCTGCTGCCCCTACCGATGTCATTCCCGTTGGTTTGATCCTCGGTTGCAATGGATATGTATGGATTGGACCAGCTCGTGCGATGGACATTGGCCTTCGTTTGGCCGCTCCCATCGAGTCTGAACGTGAGGGTGGCGCACGTGCGGATCAGATTGCCGAACGAGTCGCTGTGGCCCGTGTTCGCAATTGTATCGTTGCTCTCGCTCGGAACGGTGTATCTGTTTGGGAGACCAGTGTGCTAGCGGCATGTGAAGCCAGTTGCTTAACCGATCCACAGGCCATGGATGAGGATGATGAAGAGCTGGATGCGATGGAAGGCGCCACTCTTTTGCGCAACCGAATCTCTTCCCTCTTGCGTCCGGACGTATCACAAAGACTGGTGACCTTGGTGCGGGCGAAATTGGGCCTAACCACTTGATGGACCACACTGATGCACGTTGTATATGCCCCATTGGCACTGTAAAGTTATAAAGCGATCCCTCATCTGCTTGGTCTACTGCTTACTTCTCCTCAAGGATACTCGTCTATTGGATGTAGTCACATGGTAGTTACGTTAGGATCTTGGTGTACTGGTTTGTCTCAGTTGCAGTCCAGTATTCGCCTTGAAATTCCGTAGATTGGTTTACAGTGCCACAGAACAAGAATAGTAATAATTAATAGTGTTAATCGTTGTCTAAGGAGTACACGAGGCGTAAAATCGTCAGACTGACAATCAGGGTTCTAAGACAAGGGACAAGTACACTTCCGTGGTTGACTTCGTGAATTGAGCGTACCCGATGGAGAGTGTCTAGCAACCAATGCGACTACTTACAGTGCACTCATCCAGCAAAGCGATGCATGCCAATCCGGCTCGGCCTTTTTGTGTTTTTTTTACTTTCTTTCTACGTCATGGTCAAGCTACGCCGTGGCCGTAACCATCAAGCACTGTTTTAAGAACTTACATGCGCTAAGGCGGCCAGCTAGTAGACGATCGAGTGATATGGCGCGGCCAGCGGCGGCAGTTCGAGTTCATTGAACACCCCGCTAAGCTGTTAGATGGTCTACTGGCAACCTCCAAATCACTTATGAGTACGGATAATTGATTTTTTTGTTTAGTTCATCGCTATCAGATCACAAGCAAAATAGACCAACTAGAAATATAGGATAAACCATCAGCAGCACGCCGGTACACTGAACCGACGTTTCGTTGCCACGCTACCACCACCAGTGGCGAGGGCTGGTTATATCTCGTAGTCGCCCGCACCTACACGGGTTCGAATTGGCGACTTTTGGATTAAAATGCAGCCGCATAATCCTTTCACCACCTGTTTCCCTAGCCCGTCCATAGCAGCTATCAAAGCTAGCTCACTCACACTCTCTCTGGAGCAGCCAGGAGAAGATTGATTGTATGCCGCCTGTAGCCGATTGGCTTACCGATGGGAGTAGGCCAATGGCATCATTTTACCTTGAGGTGGACCAACCAGAATAACCTATCTTGAAGCCCTCCAGTAAGCACACTGCTTGCTCAGCCAACAAGCGGCTTTTTGTGCATCTAGTAATTGCTATAGTCAGGAACTTTCAATTAGGTCTTTTCTCTCATGAACTATTTAGTTCGACCAATATATTGGCTGTGCATTCTGTCTTCCGAGTGCCCCATACAAGGTCCGCTAGAGGCCTTTGTCTTCTGATTTGGGAAGTGGCTGCATCGGTTATCCGTACGGTCAGCGGAAACACAACACCACCGGTTGACACCAATCTAGGAGAACGCCAGACGGCCGTTTCGGACTTACCTGTGGTGCGCATTCCCATGGCCCACTTCAGGGAACCGAACCCATAGCTTGAACCACCAGTCAGCAGCTTATGCCACTGAGCTATGGGGGACGATAGCTGACTATCATGGATTAAAATTTAACTGCGATATAGCCAAGCCATCTTCTACTGCTATAGAGGTTAATGTCCGTGCAGAAGACAGTGGTGGACCACCCAAGTGCCAAGATCTCCCTACCAGTAGTCGTGAGTTCACACAGCTCCTTGGACACTGCTGGGTCTAGTATTTGATTCCTCGTTAATGGAGGGATTTGGTGAAATTTATTTAGTTCATTGCAGTTACAAGCCAGATAGGCCAGCTGCCAATGCAGTAACCGTCTGGTACCATTCCGGATTTGCATCTGGCCTGAAATATAATTGCGGTGAATAATTCCCATGAAATAAGAAGTTCACAATTGCACGAAAAACATTCCTTTCGATAAATCTCATGAGACGTTTATAATGGTAGAGCAGCATCAGAAAATCGTTTGGATAATGGAAGAGAGGTTTGAATTAGAAAATAATCTATTGGCCTGGTATGATCGGTCACCGATCAATGTCTTAGTCAGTCGAAATAGGCCTTACGATGGGTGAGGACAAACAGATCAGTAGTGACAAAAGCCGGTCGCTCGTTATGTTTGGGCTGAGGATTTCTTTCCGGAGCGCGTTGATGACCAAGGTAAAATCCAGCTACAAACAATGCTTCCCTGGCATGGTTGACCAATTTTGGCGCGCATTAGTTATATCCCATCCATAGGCAGCTCTGGCCGAATGGCAGCATTGCGCACTGTCCTTCCATCGCCAACCCAAGTAACTGAGGCCCTGCGAGCCATTTGTACCTTATCGGTGCTTGCATCAACCTCCGCACTACATAGACTATCGTATAAGAGGATGTTCTGATGATTAGCTGTAATAAAGTTCCGACCCAGTCCCGTCGTATAATTCGTGTTTTGAAGGTGCAATGCGCCTACGTGGTTGTGCGACACAGTCATATCCACTGTCATCCGCAAACTAGTTTGCAGTTCCGCGGCCGTCACACATGGTCTAATGGCACAAGCTGCTGGCGTCCGGAAGTCCTGGGATCGGAATCCGTCAGGGGTCCGAGGAAGGTTCACCGCTACCGAGACCCAGAAGGTCGAACCAACGCTGTCTGGTGCTTTTGAAGACGTTCCAAAGCCTGCTGATTGAGAGTGGAGTGGTAAATTATCTTTGAATTTTACAAAATCCCCACTAAGTTTGATAATCGGTCATTTAACTGAACCTCTATTGCAAAATAAACGGATGGATAGTACATCGACTCATAATCAGTTCGATCAGGACGTTATAGGTAGGGAGAGATGTTGCAAATCCGCCACACTTTTAGTGTTGAAATTGAATAGTTTCCAGTAAATCCATACACCATGTCTTTGTTCACGGTATTGGGAACTAAATTACTCCGGTTCTCCGTTTAAAACTATGCGTCGGTACGCAGTGATACCATCGCCTGGATCAAGGGCAACCTACAATTCTAGGAGACTTAATGTGCTAAGTCATATGCGTCCCGTAACGTCCTTTAAGAAACAAAAACGAAGATTGCGCTGCAGTCAGAATCCATTTGATCAGAAGGCAACACATTAGTTATAGGGCAAACTACGCTCCGTTGAGCGATTCCGATTTGGTCTTTCTTGATTGGCTGCCTCTGGCGGAAACGGCATTTCATCCATCGATCCAATTGGCCGTGCGGGCTTACAACGTGATTCTCGCCCCCACGTGTGGGGGTTGCTGCCTGACTGGCGGCGATCGATCAGCTTTCAGATGGTAGACCCAAATTCGTTCAGCTCGCTCGTTCGATAAGCAACCAGCATGATCGATGATAATTAGATAAATGTGTATTTTATTCTCAACAATACGAAACACGCCTGCAGAGGCATGATGATGGTGATACAAACCCTAAGGACTGGTAAATGTAACTAACGGTACAATTTTACCAGTAGCATATGGATCCGTGTGTTTGAGGGTGAGAATGTGTGTAGCTGTTGCTTAAATTTGTACATGTGACGCCGTATTTGTGAGTGGTTTTTGTCAGCCTGAGAAATGGTGAGATGAAATCTTCGTATTGGATGACTGACTTCTGCGGATTGAGTAAGATCATCCAAATAGGTATGAAGTAGTGACTAGTTAATGGCGAATCACATCCGCCACGTCGCAGTATTGTTCAACAGACCTATGTGGCTTTTTATCTGGAGAATTCTTGCCAGGCGTAACTACACGACGTCCTAGAACACTGCCGCTGAACCTCTCGCTTGAACGGGATTGACCTGAACCACCCAGCTAGCACTACGTGGAGGTTGTTTTCCCTTATTGTCTTCCACTGTGGGAGAGCTTTCGGACCTGGGCTGCGATCTTAGTTGGCTTATTCTGCTACGGAAACTTCTCATCAGAGTACAGAGCCTGTCCACCACGTCTCTTTTTCGCCCCATTCGGCAGCTTCCCTTTCTTTTCCGATGCTCTTCAGCTCTAGGTATCTGTTTAAATCATACTTCGTCTCCAGACGCTAGAGATTGAGTGTGTCTCGATTCGCGTTTGGGATACGTTTTTCGCCGCCGTAAACGTTTTCGAAGAGGGTATCGCAGACGATAAGTCGAAATTTTCTCTGGTTTCAAATTAACAGTGGCTTCAGAATCAGCTTGCCATCTCACTGGTTGTCCTTGAATCGGCGGTGGTGCAATAACGCGTCCTTTCCCATCATGATTCGACTTGTTATCTACTGAAATCTCTCGCGTTTCTTGCCTACATTTACGATCAACAGAGCTAACGTTGGTTGATCGACAACCAGCGGAATGGTTTAACCGGCCTTCGAATAATCACCAAATCTCGATCATTTCTGAAAGACCCAATTCCTGATCATGATCGCAGCCATTATATGTGTCTAGTATCCGCATCGCACAATGGCCGATTGCGTACCTGAACATTGCTAATTGGTATGATCTTGGATATTCATCCAACTCGATGAGCATCACGAAGTCCATTCACTTTACTTTCCATAGCCGTCAGTTTTCGGGTAACGAACCTTCCGTCATATGTATTGGTGTCAGCATCTCTATAAACGGCTGCCAGCTAGAACAAAGCTGTTACTCCAAGCCCAACTTTGCAAAGCTGCTACTCACTTATCGGTTTCATCCTTTTCATTATAAACATGTCGCATAACGCCCTCCGAGAAGACTGGGTTGCGGTCAGAATCCATTTGATCAAAGGGCAACACTTTATGGGATAAATTACGCTCCGTTGAGCGATTCCGATTTGGTCCTTTTGAATGGTTGCACACTGAGTGGGGTCTTGAAATTTGGTCATGCTCTACGTGCCTCTTTCAAGTAATTACCAACACTCGCGCCTTCGACAGTACAATTTATGAACTTACTGTTTTGCCTACTGCTCTATCTACGATTAGTGTCATGATTAGTTACACTCGGGAGCTTTTGAAATCGTTGTGCCTTTCCGCACAAGTGATGAACACATTTAGATGTATCTGAAGCAGTGATAAAAATCTTCGAATGCGAAGAAGCATCGTGCTCGGTGGAAAGTTGCTCTGCGGAAGCAAACTTTACCGATTATGAGCATGCCCTTTTTTCTCGGCATCAACGTCCGCTCACTTCTTTGAAAAATGGAAGCCCTTAAAAGCAAGATCTGCTGCCGTGAATATGCGCAGCTAGGAGTAATTATGCTACAGGAAACCTGGCTTCACAA